CTATTTATAAAAATTTGTTATTTATTATTAAATTATTATTATTACTAAGAAAAAAAAAAAGAAACCGAACAGGGGCGTTTACCCTTAGTCTATAGCGAAGGGGTTCGGCTCCTCTTTAGGTACGGCGGGGGGGGATTAGAGCTATCGATAACGCGCTAGGAAGAAATTAAGGTGCTTAATATTATTATTAAGATAGTCCCTAACTGCCTAAAGCTCCCGTATAATTATACGAATACCGGCGAAGTCCTTCGCATAGCTAAGAGAAATAAATCTAGCGTCAGTCAAAGGAGTTATATACTAACGCGAGTTAAAGGGCAAAATTAGATAAGGGCCACCGACCGAGGCACTAGATAGGGATAAAGGGGATACAGATAGATTAAATATCTTTACAAGGCGCGAAGACAGAGAGGACTTAGCCGAACTAGTTCTCTTACAATCTCTAGAAAATAGACCTAAATAGGGAAGAGGCTTCTAGGGGGTAATAAGTATAATTAAGGCAAAAAGGGGAGCGAAAGCTTCCGCTTCACAAAGAAAGCTACTATCCGGATTCTACTCACGAATAATACGCAGAATCTATAAGGGTAGGAACTTATTCGTACAGAAAAAATAGTTAGTTCTAGCACTAAAAAAGTTATAGTTTATATAACCGCCACTAAAGATAATAAACCTATTATATATAAGGACGCAATAAGTTACGAATAGGCCCAGACCGCGAGAATAGTAATTATATAACTCGCTAATAGGGGCGACTATAGCAGATTAGTAAGCCTAGGTAGCACGAAGAGGCACTATTATCTTATAATCACGGGGCTTCCTATTACGCCAGTCAATATTAGTCTAAATAGACACGTTTAAGATCGTACGGTCAAATTAGGTAACAAAACTAGTTATAATCGGGTTATTTTCGGTATTAAGGCTAACAAAGGACAAAGCGAGGGTAACTAGGGGAGAAGAGGAACAAACGGGGGCAACCGAAGGATTAGGATAAGGATTAGGACTAAGGCGAGGATAGCCATAGGTACAATAAGGGCTAGTCGGAGTGGCTATAACGCGCGAAAATAAAAAGAAAAATATCTTTTTTTTTTAAGGTTTTTTATAGTAAACCTACGAGCAGGCGAAAATAAATACTAGATACTAGCCAGAAGATACCTAAAGATAGGCGAACGAGCACGAAAGGGAATAAATCAGTAAAGAAATAAGTAGGTTAGAGAGAGTAAGGAGGGAAAAGAAAGAGGGCCGAAAAGTTACGCGCCTATATCCTCACCTATAATAAACGCGTACGTTTAAGTGATTTCCTAATTAGGCCTTCGTAATCTTACTAATCCTATTAATCCTCGTGATCCTATTAATCTTCGTAATCTACTAATCCTATTAATCTTCGTGATCCTACTAATCCGATTAATTCTATTATAATAAACGATACCGCTATAGCGGCCACGATCTACCCCGGATATATCTAATTAGCTAAGCTTAATTATTAATAGGATACGCACGGCCCTAATCGCCCGCGATCGACGCGCTTATCCGGACCCTCTCTTATAATAACGTACTAATTTATTTATACCCTGCGCGACCGGTTAATATAATAACTCTGCGCGTATTCGTTCCCTTATTTATACCCGGACCCGTATATTATTGTTTTGATAACATTTCGGCACCTATTAGAAACATTTAGTTATAATTAGGAATAAATATTCCCGTCCTTAATATATTTCTTTTGTTAACAATCTCTATTTATATTATATTAAGAAACTAACTAGGACTCTTAGGTCCGATCCTATACGTACCCGAGATTACAAGGATATAATCCTATTTAGTGGGGAGAATATAATAATAGGGCCTTCTTATTACTAGGAAACAGTCACGTTACCCAACTTTTTCTGCCGTACGGACCCGTATTAGTCCGCACGGCTACCATATATCTACTCCTTCGTACACTTACTGAATGGAACACACTTTCCCACATCCAGAATCTCATTAGTGTTTAAGCTTTAAGGATATATTATCTAATTTCTACTTCCTAAAACCCTTTAAGACTTTTAAAAAATATTAGAATTAACTTAAATAATATATACTTATAAGGAAGTGTTGGGATATAAGGGGAAAGCTACCACGAAGCAGATCGTGGCCCCTTAAGTCCGTTGGATCAACCTTAGTCCGGCTGGGTCAGTCGGTGCCAGACAAAGGTGGAAGGTCAAAGGTCGTAGGATAGACTATAAGCAGATATAGCCTAAACGAAGGCAGAACCACAGTCCTGAGGTTCAAAGGAAGAAGGTAGAGATGACTTTTTGGAAAGTAGAACTGACTTGATTCTTTCTGCTAGAAAGGAGGGACATATTTATAGGCTAGGATAGCCTAAAAATGATGTCTAGAATGACATACAAATACTAGGCAGCAACATAAAGAAGGTGGCAAAGAAATGAACCGAAGAAAAGCCAAAAGAATGATGTCAAGGATCGACGGTTTAAGCCACCCCGAAAGCTTCCCCGCAGTATCAGGCTATGCATGCCCAAAGGTGGACCATTTTATCCCTAAGGGAAAGTGGTCCGCCTATCCTTAAGGGGACTGAGGGTCGAAGTCTGTTCACCGAGGTCCGAAGACCATGGTCGAAGTCCGCGGGCAAGATATGCCCGAAGGCACCCCCGAAGGAACGGACCATTCATGCCTCAAGGCGGACCATTTACCTCTGAAGGAAAATGGTCCCGCCTATCGTTCGGGGGAGGGCCGCGGACCAGAATCAGAAGTGGTCAAAATATCATTTTGATAGAAGAAAAATCTGGTCACGTGATCAATATCATTTTGATAGAAGGCCCCAAATTGGTCACGTGATCAATGCAATGCTGATCTTATATGTTGAATATAAGGATAGATCTTTCTATGTAGCATTAGTCTATATTCCAATAATATCTTTATCCGCGTATTAAAGGTAAAGCGCGGCTAAAATATTATCGCGGAAGGTTCGCTTCGTAACCCACTAAGAAATAGATATAATATCTATAGGGGATAAATAAAGGACTAACGAAGCCTCCTATAAAAGATAATAAAGATTAGATATATTAAGGCTAAGATTATTAATAGGAATAAGGAGATAATCGGCTGAATATATTTAATAAATAGCGAAGTTAACCTATAGAACCGTTAGCGAAACTTATACGAAATCGGCTTCTAACTTATAGGCTTAATAATATATATAGTGCCTAAGTTATAAATATTAGAGTAACGAGACACTAAGTATAAAAAGTTAGTAATAAAGACGCGAACTACCTCCTTAGTATAGATATAATAGTACTAGACTAAATAGGGTTACTAATAATAAGCTTACTATCTTTATTTGCCTCCTTAGCAGGCTTAGTAACGATAGCCTAAATATCTATAATATACTTAAGTAAATTAACTATATTAATTAAGTTATCTTATATACTAAAGGGAACCTAAATAGATTAATAATAAAATATAAGTGAATAAAAAAGATAAATTAACCGAAGGGTAATGATAATTAGTATAGAAATATACCTAATATAAGATAGAACTTAGTATATCGCGTATATGAATTACTAAGAAGGCGCTCTGCCTATCTTAGTCCTAGAGAGAGCGATAAGTATAAGGAATATACTAAGTAAGCTCCGGGATTAGAGATATATCCTATAAAGGGCAATAGCTAAGAGATATAGGGGAAGATATATTAATTCGTGACCGAAATAATAATAAAAATAGAGATAAAGAGAGAAATAAAGAGAAAGATAAACTAATAATAAGTTACAGCCAAAGAACAAATAAAAATAAATCGAAACGAAGCTAAATATAAGAACTAAGGGAAATAGGGAAGATATTAGAGGAAGGAAAGTAAAAGTAAAAAAGTCAAAAAAAGAGGAAAAAGGATATAGGTAAATAAAAATATTAATAAATAAAAACGTTAATAATATATAAAAATAATAATAATAATAATACGCTAAATAAGCACTAATACGCGACTAAAAAGAATATATATTAGTATATATTATTATTAGCTAAATCAAAAACAATATTACCGTTATATCGCGGCCGGGACTACCGCGAAACTAAGGAGAGTCTAATACTATTTATAACTTCTACGTAACTCACCCTAAGTATAACGACACTTAGGGCTCACACCTATTATATAACCCTGAACCCAAAAAGGTTATTTAATCTAGATAACGTCAGGCAAAAAAAAACTTTTTTGCAGTTACCTCCGGGGCCTATCGTCTCTAGAAGGGGAGTTATAAAGGAATACTAAGGACTAGCGGTAAAGGTTTACCCCGAAGTGTAATAAGTAAGTCTCGGACCCGATTCGTACTTAAAACGAGGGGGGTTCCCAGATAACTTAGACTTAGCAAGAATCAGTCTTGCTTCTTATAATACTACACTCTAGTCCAGATATCCTTCCTTACCTGACCGATAGGCTTTCTACCCTGAACACGTAGATTCTTTACATCTACGGACCAAAATTATAGTAGGACCACTGCCTGAATCGTTTCGACGCCGCGGGAAACGTACTAAAGGGAAGGAAGGAGCGACGCAAAATACGGTACCGCGCCCGGCCGGGCTACCTTATTAAATAGCTATAGCTAGGACACTCCACTTCGCGCTCGAGCCGGACTAATACAGTTAGAGTTCTGATTGAAGAGCGGGGTATTAAGGTGTTCTACTTTCCCTAGAGGGAGCGCGTCAGTTTCTCTGCGGCTTCGGCACTACTAAACCATATTTATTAACGATAGCGGCACGGTAAGTTTAGGTACGTTATAAGCATAGGCGGAAAGCGACACAGACGCGTCGACGGGGATAGGTATTACGGGAGTTATTAGAAGCGGGAGAGGAGGACGTTAGAAATCAGTGTGTATTAGCATAATTATATAGTGTAGTTATCCCGACTACCCTATAGTTTCTGCCGGCAAATCGGCCTTGCGGCTAACAGATCCGAGAATGAATAATCAACCAATCAATCAATTAATTATAGCCAGGACCTGGGACTAAAAATCCAATCACTTCTTCCCAACATAGACAATCCTACCATCCTTGTCTTGCACATACCCATTCTCCCTAGTAATTCCATTTGACCCATAAGCCAGAGAAGAAGCCTGGACTTGCGGAGACTGCATCTGGCGTTGGTATTCGCGAGCTTTCTCCTCATTGGCTATAGCTTGCCTCATGCCTTGCACTTGCTTTGTGAAACTCAGGTCAGGATTTGCTTTAATTGTGAAGCTGTTTGTGCTATGTGGGCTTACAATCTTTCCATACTGGTGCATATGGTACGCCTGCTGGGCATTCTGGACCACGCCCATGGGGTTTGCAACCCCTGCGGAGGCTCCTGCTGCTGCACATGCGAAACCAATACCCTCACTCGCCATCTCATAAGTCTTGTATGGGTCTGGCATTATATATGAAGTACTAGAAGATTCCGGTGGAAATAATAGGATTAAAGAAGTAGAGAACGTATCGGATTTGGTTGTTGATGCAATTAGAGAAGGCCTCGGGCTGGGACCGATGTGTTTTATACCAACTAGCTATGGAGAGCTGAAATGCTCTCCCGGGTGCTATTCTACCCGTGGACACGGACACCCGGCATATTGGTGGCATCCAATCGATAAATGACATGGTGTGGGGGGGTAAGCCGCAGCGGCAGATACGAGGTAGCATCGATGCATCAGATCGAATATGTATGCCTCCAAATAGACCTGGCACTCACCCTCCATTTGGATCCGCCAAGACGCCAAGGAGGGTCCAACTTTTGACATTAGACCCTCTTAGGTGATATTTTAAGGCATAAATAGGCCCTAAAAGGTAATTTTCTGCTTATAAATGGTGTTTTATACACGCTTATGCAGGAAGTCCCTTGGCGGGTGGAGGGTCCGGACCTTGGACCCTCCGGCCAGGTCTAGATGCATATGTTTGACTTGTTTGCATGCATGCTGCGCTCGGACCTTTTAAGGTGAAACAGCCTTGCATACGGAGTACTGTTATAGCCTCCATCTTATGTGGTGGCAGTGCATAGTTCTAACAAAGCCTAACGCATCGACTAAAAGAAATCATCCAGTAATATTTTACTGTAGCTCAGCCGAGGGGACATGCGACTCGAGGCTGAAATTAGGGGCAATTCGGCCCCAAATTGCATAGCTTTCCGTTTGTCCCCTTCACCATCCACCTATTTTATAAGGGGGTAAGGGGGACCAACTGATCTGTTTCCATTATTGATTATCACCAAACAAGTTTTTGTTGTTCTTTTTATTTTTCAATACGATGGACCTGCTGCCTAGGCCCTTGGGGTCATCCACTCCGGACATAGATGTTCCGTTGATGGAAATCATTCCCTATGAGGAGCCCCATGATTTCTTTTCATTTAAGCAGCGGCACAACATTCACATCTCATTGTACGATGAAAACGATAGTCACGCATTGGCAACGTTAATTCAGTCCTGGCTGTTCTTTGGCTTGTTGACGGAGATTTTCGGAGATATGCCTGAACCGAGTGACCTGGTCGACACCCGGCTAGTTAATGGAAAACCCATTTCTTGCGTATCCCTTAGGATATATGCGAGCCGTATTTTCGACTTGCAGTTAATTAATCGGTTGCAGAATGACAAATCTCAGAAAATGATAAGATTTGCCCACAGCCAGCTCATTCATTTCGAAAAACTCCCTTGCGCTGTCCGATTTCCTGTCCCTGCAGTCGCTCTATCGACACACGTACTTATTGAGTCTTTAGCTGCATTGAGTCAAGGCAAATACGGAATACTGAAAACTTTCGGAGAATATCAAGTCCTTGATATCTTGAAGGAAGGGAGGAGTAAGTTTCAAGCTCCGTTGACTAGCCAAGATGTTCCTCCCTCCCTTCAACTCATACTCGATCGCTTGTTTGCCAATAGATGGTGTCATGCACAGGCCATGCATGTCTTTCAAAAGCTTGGCTATATGCCTCTTTATTATACGTCAAACATCCACCGCCGCCACTCACAAGAAATGGATCACCAAAAATGCCGAGGCACCATCTGTTCCGCCACTACGCCGTCCGACAAAAGCTTAGGAGTGCCTAGACATCGATGGCCCAGTTGTAACTGCTCCCTACAGAGCTCACCTGTTGATCAGGTCTTGAACATCCTTCGTCAAGGCAAGATTCCTCTTGTGCGGCTCACTTACAATCAGCTTGGTAGGCTCACTTTGAACCTAGAGGCTGCTAGCACTCGCAGCCGCTATATTGCTTTATCACATGTGTGGGCGGACGGACTCGGCAACGCCACAGGAAATAGCGTTTATTACTGCCAGCTTGAGCAGATTCAGCGCCAGCTGTCAAACCTCCCCATTGATGATGAAGGAATCTTTCTTGCCAAATTTTCCGACCTGTTCAGTTTTGATGTGCCCCGTTTGAAATTTTCCATGGGGGTTCCAGACCAAACTTCAACTCTTTTTTGGCTGGACATTCTCTGTGTCCCCGCGAAGTGTCTCTCTGGAGTTCATGACGCTGATGTACGGCGATTGCGCAAAGAAGCAGTATCTCAGATTCCCGCCGTGTTTGCTGGTGCAGCACAAGTCCTAGTTCTCGATGCTGAGCTACAGAGCTTGCGAATAGGTGCATCTCAGCTTCCGGAGATATTTGCTCAAATTATCGGCTGTAATTGGGCCAAAAGAGCATGGACATACCAAGAAGGGGCGCACAGTTTGAGATGCCAAGTTCAGCTAGCTGACTGTGCCATAAACCCAATGGATCCTGAACTACCTGTAAGCAGCTGGGGGGGGCTTTAGGTATTAAAATGACAACGGTTTTCCAGTAAGCTTATCATCAGATTTGGAAAATCGCACGATTCGCTCGTGCTTAGAATACCACCTCTTGGGGGCATTCAAGACTGAAATAAAAGTCTGGTTTCCTGAAAACGACCTAGACGGAATTCCAAAGACTCTGGACGAAGATCCTGACTTCGAAGTTATGACTCTTGTGCGCACTTGGAATGAGCTACTGCAACGATCGACGACTGAAGCTTCAGATCTGGTCATTATATTAGCCATGTCGCTGCGCATTCCTCTGCCCAGCTTATTGGAACTGCCCATTTCACAACGCTTACCATCCATCCTCTGGAGTCTCACTCAAATACCTTTGTCATTACTGTACATACCGTGTACCGAAGACTCGGATTCGGTTGACAGACAGAATTCCTGGCTGCCTCGACATATTCATGTGCCCAATTCGCGAGATTTCTATTCTCTAGCAGCTCGGGACTATGGAGAGTTCTCCAAGGCTAGGGACTGTATTATCTTCAACTTGGTAGCCCATTCAGATCTTTTGTTAATTCCTTTGGCTGGAGACGTGCCAAGGGTCCCATTATTGCTGGTTCAAACCCCGCTTCATCTTTATAAGATTCTCTTCCACCGTCGAGAAAATACAGCTGCGGAGGTCTCGTATTCACTAGGAAAGCTAATTGTCATCGATACTCGCTCGGCGGCTGCAGAGAGTCAACGGCTCATGGAGCCTTGGAAAGCTGGCTGTTCTTTCAGTGTCCAAGAAGCCCACCATACAGCCCCAGATAAATGGAAATTGAACTTCATCTATGATAGTGCTATTTCAGCACTGGTTTTAGATCTTGAAAGCCGAGAAGGGTGCGATACTGGCTCAGCGCAGCCGTTATCAGACACACTGGACCCAATTATTGTTCAACAACATGTCAACGATGCAACAGACCAAGCCTCGTGGGCTAGCTCGAAGGTGAACAGGTTTATTGTTTGCATGGCATGCAGTGAGTGATCAAATCTCTAGTGTTGTTGCTCGAGCTCTCGGTCCATCTCTAATATAATGGATCAGGTCCCACGGGCTCGCCACTTTCTCGTCTGCCCCAACGGTATTTGTTTTCCACCGATTCTTTGGTGTTGTGGTTTATTGCAGTACCATCCGGCCTTTTTTATTCTCTCAGGTATTTCTCATTTCTTGCCTTCAGCGTCAAGAGTGGTTTTATTGGCCTATCCCCGATACGGAAGGCGGCTTTTCTTGCGTGGTGGGTGGGGCTTGGATCTCCTTTATTGCTGGCACTTTTATTGTTGATTTGGATTGGCCTCATCTGCCTTAAATATAAGTGGTACAGTAAAGCCAAGCGTCTGGACTCTAAGGTCTTTTGGAAAATTTGCGGAAAATACGCGTGTGTGTTTGCGTTATTAACTCCACGCGTGGCTAGAGACATCAGTCCTTTTATAGCCTGGGTACTTCTGCTTTGCAGTCATTCCCACGGCCAGCCCTATCACCACCAAAGTGAGCGCATTTTCATTGTAAGCACTGGGGCTTACTATTTGTGGCTCATACCTTCTTTGATATTGATAGCTATGTGGGGCCATTTCTGTCGCCGACTCTGGTTGGCGATTCATGCTGCAAATCCAATATTATTCTCGTTGTCGATATGGGATCTGGCAGCATGGAAATTCACATTTACTCAAGGGGACTGCTTGACAAACTTGCTGATATTGCTGAGAATCCACCGCCTTTTGCAATTCCTCGATTCTTCCAACACACGTTCACGTGAAAAATCCCGAGTGTCGGCATGAATATCCTCCGGCATAAAGGAGAATGTGTTATTCCGTGTGTTTGTTATATTTGCACATCTATTCCGATATAAATTTGTATCCTTATGGATTTAATAATACCAGAGTTTTTTGATGGCATTCTGAAATGGGAACGGCTCGATGGCTGTCTGGTGGTGCAGACTGGACAACTCACATACACACTGCCTGCCCGGCGTAGAGGACGATCTGGATGAGGCTGCACTGATGCCATGTTGCAGCAGTACGGGATAACCTGAATGCTGCATCATGAATAGAAGGAATAAGGGGACAACCTGAATGAATCGGGTAGATGACTTGTCTATCTTCAACTCTGCCTGCCGATATGCAAGGCACTGCAGGCTCGAGATCATGCCTAAGGCCATCTACCTGCTTTTAATCCACCGGTTCTCCCACTACAATATATAATATAACCGCCTTCCTCTTTCCAATAGATATAAGCCCGGTTCGCATAATATAAGTTTTATAGATCGAATATTTGAAGCCTACCCACTTATAATAAGTAGGAATATCCTCCCCCGGATACAACGACAGCGTGAATTAAGTAAGAATTAACTATAGAGATAGCCACCGCACTCTCTATCCGTAAGGGTAAAAAGCTAAAAGGTCTATAGTAGTGGAAGACTTAGATATAATAAGGCTAAGACTATATAGAAGATCTCTACATATAGGACCTATATAACCTAGAGCTCGCTACCTATAAGCTTCGATAATAGTAGCCAGAGCTAAGCGAGCCTATATATCCTAAAGACGGTAGTGTGATAATAGGGCCTTCTTATTAGGGGGAAAATGGTTACGTTATCTAACTTTTTCTGCTATACGAACCTATATTAGTTCGTATAAGTACTATATATCTACTCCTTCGTATATTTACCAAATAGAATATAGTTTCTTATCTTTAGAACCTATCCTATGGGGGTAACTGTAATAAGGCGTATTATAGTTTAGTTAGTATTTTTTTATATAGGCTTAGGGTTTCCTAAAGGGGCAGATTAGGGTTAGTTTTAGGGTGCTATTATAGTTACGTTCCTATAGTTTATTTTCATTTAATTTTCTAGTAAAGTATAGGCTATATCTTATATAGTTTAAGTTCCTTATTTCTCTATATTATTAGCTCTAGGTACCCTAAGAGTACTATACTTTAATAAGACTAATATATCTAAGTTTCTAGAAAAACTATAGGATATATATTTTAGATATAGCGTTAAAAATAATAAGGATATTATAGGTATATTACCTTAGTACTATATAAAGGTCACTAAGTCCTAGGTAAAGAGACAGGATTTCTAGCTAAAGAAAGACTAAGATACCTATAAGGAAGTCTTCTTAGAGTATTTTTATAATAACGATAGCGAGTAGTAAAGATATATAAAGATATATCTTTAATCCCTTACCTAGACTAAGTAAAAAATGTAGGATAATATCTAATTATATTTTAATAAGTTTAATAATATCTTTAGCTATATCTATATAAAAAGTAAGATTAACGATATAGATAAAGTAAGCCTCTTTATCTAAGGATTTCTATAGTAACTTAAGGAGAAAATTATTAGAAGGTATTCTTATAATTAAGTACTAGGTAGCTTAGCTATAGGTAATAGTAATTAGTAGTTATAGTCTATATAATTATCACTACTTAGGACCGATTCGGATTTTTTTAGTATTAGTTTATAGTACTCTATAAAGATTAAAATACCCTTAGGGTATAGTAGCTTAGGAGCTATTAGATTTAATATACTATATATTATTCTCTACTTATAGAAAGGAGATAGCTTTTCGGCTAAAAAAAAAATACTAACTCTATATACTTTACTTTTAACTATCTCCTCTTAATAATTCTTTTTCTTCCTCTTCTTTTTCTTCTAAGGTTACTTCCTCTTCTTATAACTTATACTATAGAATTATTTATATTAATATTATCTATATAGTAAAGTACTATAACTATTAGATACTAGGGTACCCCTACTTAGCTATAGTACTTAACTAGATAGGCTATATCTTTAGTAATATCTAAAGTACTACTATATCTCTTATATATTAGTCTAATAGTATTCCTTATAGAAACTAAGTATATTTAGGGGAATACTATATCTTAGCTAGCTACTCTTAGCTATCTATACTAAAAGTATACCGTTATAATTACCGATAAATATAGTCTTCCGTTTAAGGTCTTAGATAATCTTATAGCTTTTAGGGTTAAGCGCGATTCCTACTCTTTAGGTATATATTTCTTCGTATAGTAACGTACCTTAATAAAAGAGCTTTTTTAGGGACGCTAATATAAAATAGGAATAGCTTAATAGCTATCTAATAACGCAGACCAGATAATATATATATATATACTACCTAACGATAAAGATAGACCAGATAAGGCCGCACTAATACCCTAATATAGTAGTATAGGATAATCCTAATACTATATTATGAATAGAAGAAAATAAGGGGGTAACCTAAATGAATTAGGTAGATAACTTCTCTATCTTCTACTATACCCTAAAGATATATTAGGCACTCCAAGCTATAGATTGTACCTAAGGCCACCCACATACTATTATGTCACCGGTTCTCCCACTACACTACGTAATAGCTTCGGGGCCTTTAGCGTCGTCCGCTAAGGTTTTTATATATATCTATAATACCTTAGGCGTCTAGTTATATAAATAATAGGCCTATCTAGTACGGTCTAACTATAAGTTAGCCTCGTTAATCTCCCTAGCTTAGATTATAGCGGGCTACTACCGCTACTAGGTAAATATCGCTTCTATCTTATTGATAGCTTAGGGGATAATATAGCGAGCTTATACGTAGGATTAGGCTATTGTACGTAGATATAATGCGACCTAAATTAGCTATAGAATAATCGCTAGTATATAACCTAGACTATAGCTTACTTACGTTTCTCCTATCTAATACTAATCTTAGATGGCTAGGGCTTACCCTAATAGCTCTAGGCGAAAAACCTATACTCTTTATACTAATATAATTATATAATACTATAACTACGGTATACCTCGCTATATATAGTATATTTTAATCTATCCTAATAAACGGTTAACCTTAGAATAGGATATTCTACTTATATAGGGACTGATATAATCTTATCCTATAACTCGTCCTACTCGTCCTTAATAGTATCTAATACCTACTAGGTACTACTTTAGGTAATATAATAGATCCCTTTAGGGTTTATTAAATAGCGGATAATCTCCTTAGGCTATATAATATACTTATATATATAGTAAATAGCTATACCAAACTAGTAGTTACGGATAAAATATTAGTTAGGACTTATAGATTTATATATAGCTAATAGATATATATCTAAAAACTAAATAGAATAGCTAGATAGATACTAGGGAAACCCTAATAATAAAAAATAATCGATAGTAGACAAAATTAAAACTAGGAATAGATAGCGGCCCCTAAATCCCTCTCCTAAAATTTAAATCGATAATCCTTACTAATACGTAGGTAACGAATCACCTAGTGCTAGATATTAGGGTTTATTAATATTAGTGATAGGACGGTTAGGTCGGACTGTTACGCACTGTTCCTGCGAACTGGTGAGCTGGTAATATATTCGGTATACTTACCACGGTCGTGCCTTCAAGCAGTACTTACAACCGTACCGTCACCGATAGTTTGGGCTTTACACGGGCTCGGGTCTGTAAAGTAGTCTTATAAGGTATTCGAGGTAGAGCGCCGATTCAGTCAGATCACGAATAAGCTAGCCTAATCGTAGGATAGGTTATTAACGAGTCAAACTGTGAAGATACTATCTTATAGTAGGTTCTAAGTAATAATATAGGATTAATCGCGAAGAGCTAAACTAAGTATATAGGGGATATCCCTTATATACCCTTCCTGAGCCTATTCGGCGGATAGGCGAAACCTATCCTTCGATAGGTTCCGGTCCTTATCGTCGGATAGGTTATCCTATCTCTTAATAGGATTATATTAGGGGTTCGCAGTTACGTATCCTATAGTCTAAGGAACTCGTAATCTTTTCGTGCCTATTATGTGACCTCCTTGCGGTATCCTAATCTTTACGTGATTCCTCACGTGTTTCCTTATGTCATCAATAGTTCCGGGGAACCGTTAGCTCTCGGTGGCCCATCTGTAGTCTGCGGTGGCAGGGGTCGTAACACGGACCCTATTAAAAAAACTCGTCGACTTTAAATCTCTGTAAATACCCTTAGGAATCGTGGAATAGCCTTAAAACGCAGGGAAAATCTAAATAAATAGTAAAACTAGCACTAGCGGAAATCTAGGTAAAAGAAACTAATAGGAAGCTAATTGTAGTTAACTTTAAAATATAATTATAGTTAAGTTATTCGGGAAACCCTAACGCTATACTAACGGATGCTAACTAAATTGCAGTTAAGTTCACTGTAATTACCCCCCATAGGATAGGTGACTGCCTCTGTCCTATTATATAACAGTAATATGGTAACTACCTCCGTCCTATTATCCGAGTCTATTAGGCCTATTAGCGACTGCAATAAGGTGACTTCCCCGTTCTATTATCTATTATTCTTATTAGTATACTAAGTATAATTAAATATACGTCTTTAGCGAATTATAATAGAATATATAGATATATATATATCTACGAGAGTATAAAACATAAAGTAAATCTACCTTATATACCCTATAATTTCTTTTATATTTATCGTATAATATATATTAGATAATAAAGCGTAATATAGCTAACCCTTTTAGTTTACCTTAATCAATTAAGGTAGTATAACTACTAAAAGGCCTTCTTTAAGAAAGTAGTAGGGTTTTAGGGTTATAGAAAGCTTATATAAACCCCTAGCCTAAGGGTAACTAAGTATCGTACGAGTGGCTAAAGTATACCCTATCAAAAAAAAGGTCCAAATTTCTAATCCCTATAACTACCTCTTCTATTAGTTATACGATCTTTAAATTAAAACCGAGTATAAAGCGATCGCTAGTTTAGAACTTTTGAACTTTTTAGGATTATCCGACCGATATTTTCAACTAGGATATACTCAAGAAGTCCAACTAGTATACACTCACTAGCGCCATTTTTCTTCCATAGTAAAGCGGAAACCCTAACTGGTATGCAATGCATCCCACCAACCCCCATGGGTAGAAGAAGACGATGATCCCATTTCCGATAAATACGCATGGGTCTTCTGGCACTTGACGGAGTCCTAATTTGGTGAGAACTCCGGCTGCTTCTTGCTGCCACAATCGAGGAGATATCCTCAGCCCATAAAGCGCCTTTCGGAGCTTCCAGCACTTGCTAGGGGTTTCAAACCCTTCCGGCATTCTGGTATAGACGTCCTTATCGAGCCTGCTATTCAAGAAAGCAGTGACAGCATCTCGCTGTCGAAGATCAAGATCAAACGCCGCAACGAGTGCGAATATCATCCTTGCTGTTCTTGCACTTCGGTAAGGCCCTCGTACGCGGCTGTATAGGTGCCGGAGGCGGTCTTGGCTGACGGGGTATTGACGCTTCAATTACTAGTTCTTCCACCTGAATAAGCTCAAGAGCCTCTGAAACTGATAGGCCTTGCTCTAGAGATATCTGTCTAGTAGACCGAGTCCTTTTTCGCTTTTTCTTCTCGTTTTCGGCGCGTAAATCGCTTACTTCTTTCTCGAGAATAGCTGCCGATTGCATTGTAATTTGACACGCCTTTAAAACCTGATTGATTGCGGAATTAAGCGGGCTCTTTCCTATCAGCGGACCTAAGCTTTATAAGAGTCCCGCTACCTATTGTTTTCTAAATAGGTTCCTTCCACCCCAAAGTACCCCCAGATATCAAGGCACCCCACTCACAATGGCCGCTATCAATTCTACCAGATCCAAGGATGTCATCTCGAAAAGAAAATTGATGCGACAAAAACAATGCCGTCGCAAAACAAGTCTGATGAAAAAGGCATACGAATATAGTAAAATGTGCAGCGCAGATGTATGCGTGGGAATTCGTATCCGAGAGACGGGCCAGGTACATATTTTATCAGCGGATACTTCGGGATTTTGGGCTTTCCTTGGCTCGCAATTGGTATGTCTCCAACTATGGCTCTGATGAAACAACGACTGACCTATCAAGAACTCCTACTATCCAATCCCAATAAAAGGGACAGACCAAGATCACGAAAAAGTCAGTGTTGCTTTTCATAAGCCGCGACATCTTTTTCTGTCGGCAGGGCACGAGCAGCTGCCGAAATTGAAATAGCTTAAGCGAGGCCGACTTGGCGGGTGCATCCTTGCCAAGATGTTGCCATGTTTACTTCATGACTGGGGTCAGTCATTCGCATTGAAAGGAACAACTACACTTGAAACAGTTCGCTTAGCCCAAAGAGGAGTCAGTGATATGAAAAGCCGAGCTCGATTCAATGTTGAGAACTGATTGGCCGATATGGTTCACCGCCTGGGCGAGGAGGAAGAGTGAGATCCTTGAAGCAGGTCAGTTTGGGCAATCTCGTTCTCACCTCGGCTCACCTTCAACTACTATTCTCTCCAGAGAAACAACATGAAATCCAATGCTTCTAGCATGACACCAGAGCAAGAACAGGGAGCACAGCCCATACCTAGAGATTAAAAACCATGGTGGTCCCGAGAATCGTCGCCTTGGCTAAAGCAACATTTTAAAAGCGCTTTTTGCCTTTTTGTGATTTTCCCCTGGGAAGACACACCTATCGTTCATAATAGAAATACCGTGCCTTGACACCGGCGTACTGTTTGCCTATATATTTTATATACCACTCGGTCATAATGACCATAAATTCCAGCGGCCAGTCGAAAGTTTTCAGCGTGACCAAAAAGTCATTGCGACAGAAAAGAGATCGACGCAAAATGTCCCTGAGAAAAAAACTCGCACGAGTACAGCAATAAATGCGGCGCAGAGGTATGCCTAGGCATTCGAATTCGAGAGTCAGGGAAAGTATTCATTTTTTCCGCGGACACCTCAGGATTTTGGTCCTTCATTGGTCCTCATTCACTACCTAAGGGCAGCCTAGGAACTATACGACTCCACCGACCCTAGCTGGTTCAACTCTTTGCATGACTGGAGGGAATTGGAATATGGAATGTGAGAATGCTATGATTCAAATCGCTCAAATAAAGGCTAACTCCAGATCTAACTTGCTGATATTACCAAGACCAATCCAAACGCTGAAATGTCTAATACCCAATCCCTTGAACCCGACCACTCCGAGTCACCAGGGGCTTTGCTATATATTTTCAAGCATTTATCATCTCAATTTCTGATGAAGCCTGCGACACCTTAGAAACGACTCCACGACGCGGCTTCGCCGAGAGTTCCCCCCATCGCCGGCCCATGGCAACTGCTGGGTGAGCGGCGGTCATACAAATGCACGCAATGGCAATCATAGTGCTCTCAAGAATCATCAAGGAAATTTCATCATTAGCCAGATCACTGTTAAATCCACCTTTCAGCTCCGCAACACGGAAGATCGAGCGAGTGAAGATCGTTAAAACGGCAATGGCAAGACCTTTGATTGGGTTAGCATAGGCTGATAAATGCAGATTATTTAGTGACACTTACCCAGAAGAAACATCTTCCATTTCAAACCACTGCGAACAGATGCTGTAGACGCATTCTTCATGTCTTCTGAGCTGCGGCGCACTCGCAGGGCGAATTCCGAAGCGAGCACGATGAACAGCGTCAACGAGGCGACCTGGAAAGCCAATCCTGCAATCATGATATTGACACCGGTATCGCTGAGGCTTTTTTGGTCTGAGTCGGCGATGGAGGTAATGGCGCCGCCGGCTGCTTGTAGGACTAGAGCGATGATATCGCAAGTGACGAAGAGGATGGTGTATGTACGTGGGCGAATCCTGGAGATATCCTCCCCGTAGACGATGACAATTCTTCCCAGGCAGATGTAAATGGCGGCGGTGAAGAAGGCTGGGGCAATCGTGACACAAATGAGGTATCTAAAAGTCGAGTTTCTGGTTAGCTTGCTTTATTCAGAGGTATGTCTCGAAGGTCACGTACAGAAGGAATGCATTAAAGTCGAATGGGTTGCTGTGCATCATGACTCGCCCGATGTATCCCAGTATTTCAAGAATGAGCCCCGCGGTCATGGCCCCCATGTATGTCCATGTTCGGAACCATGTTCCTAGGGCGATTTGTGCGGCGAGGAGAAGGCCGAAGATGGCGAGGAAGAGGACATTTGCCGGGATGTTAGGCTGGTAATTGATATAGGCCAAGTCAATTGGGCAAGTTGCCAAGGTGCAGTCGTCCATGTTCATTTCCGACATTTTCAGTGTTGATATTTCTACTCTTTTTCTCTCTTTTTCTTCTTGTTCTTTTTTGAGATAGTGAGGAGGAGAAGAGGTAGAATGCGAGTCTAGATGGGTTGAGGTTGATATTCCCCTCCTCATAGCATCGAATACACACTCTCTTTATACAATCTGACAAAATAACGAGGCCTGAAAGTCAGCCACGAGGCTATGCTATCTCCGATCCTACGTAGGACTATCATTGGCGCAAGTATACTTCCCGGGGCTGACAATGGGGCCGTGCCAAGACACGGAGTCCAGGCAAACTCCGAGTCCGCGGACTAGGAGGGGAATTGCCTGGGGGCCGGTCCGCGGACTCTTAAGGCCTCCTGTTTCTATCCGGCCTCCATCTTAGCTCCAATTCTTTAAATGCTGCCTACTATGTCCGCGCCAGCCAGTCTAGGCCGAGTCAGGACCTGCGAGAACTGTGTGCGTGCTAAAATTAGGTGCTCGCGCACCTCTACCCAAGGCTGTGATCGGTATGCAACATCCCGCTTCTACTTCTACTTCTCTTCTCTTCTACTTAGCAACGTAAACCTAACACGCTTTGAAGGTGTCTCCGTCTGAACAAAGAGTGTTATTTCCGTGCAACAAAAGCTCGTACTCCTAAGAAGAGGGAGACGTATATCTGCCCACTCCTCGTATCGATACGATCTGTCAAGCTGACCGCATCTAATCTAGGCGAATAGGTGCACTCGAGGACAAGGTGGATCAAATATTAGGCCAGATCAATCAGCCTCACTCAAGCCCGCAACAGGCACCACTGCCACTGCCACTGTCCCCGAAAAGTGAAAGTTGTGCTCCGACTCCTCGAAATCCGTGCGATGTGATCGGGAACGGGCTGATCACCCACGAAGAGGCAAATCGTTTGATAGAGAGCTTTCGTGATGCCATAACGTATTTCCCATTTGTACAGCTGCCGAGAAACGCCACTGTCGAGGATCTCAGATCGGAGAAACCCTTCCTCTTACTCTCTATTCTTTTGGTCTCCTCGTTTCGAAATGTCCCGCTGCACCTGGCCCTCGAGGAGGTTTCGACGTCTTACCTTGGGGGACAAGTCTTGCAAGGCAATCGCCAACAACCCTTCGATATACTACAGGGATTGCTGGTTACTATAGCTGGGTATGTTTTAGACAATTTCTCTCTTCATTAGATTCACAAAAGCTAACACGGAAGATAGAAACGAAGAAAAACCTCCATATAGTGCGGTTTTCTGGATATCTGCACCTCGCACAAAGTATAATCAACGATTGCAGACTGGATTACCCAGCCAAGCTGCGAGGAGTAAGACAAAGAATTGACGTCCTGTTGGACACGGATCCTCCGACAGAAACGATTTCCCTGCGAAACGAGGAAATGCGAGCTTTGGTTGGATATTTTCTCCTTGACGCGTGGTAAGTTCGATTTACCACCTGCACAGCCCGGTCTAGACCTGAAAAGACTATGTCTTGCTTACTTTCTTTTCACATGACTAGTCACTCCATAGTACTACAGCGGACAGGAACAATGCCTTGGTCACCCTTCATAGAATCATGCGCTGCGAAGTTGTTCGCAGGAATGCGAATTCTCAACCGATCGATACCTGTTAGGTCAGGTTCAAGTACAACACATGCTTGTACGAATCGATTCTCTAGTTGCACGGGGATTCGGTGAGAATAAGCCTCCTGCGGATATAGAAGTTATGATTAGTTCTCTTCAAAGCGATTTTGAAGATTACAAAGCCCGGCTTCCTGTCCCTATTGACTATGATGGTGAGTTGACCAAGCCTTATCTCTACTGCAGATCTAAATTCTAACACTTGATTAGTATTTCAAGGCATTCCATCCCACGCCTTCGAAATCCATCTCTATCAAACTACCTTTTTCGATGTATACCAATCTTCCGCCGCGTCATTCGACCAATCCATGGCCCTTCTGCGAATCGATGCCCTTTGTCGCGGACTAGCGGCTGCAAAACAATTTATGAGCTTTTACTTCAGTCTACCACCTCGTATTGAAGAGAGATTTAGTTACACCCAATGGACAATGACCGGGTTCAGCGTTGCAGCTTCATGCAAACTTGTTCTCGCATCGTTGGAGCCATCCGTTCGAGATCACAATCAAGTCCGAGGGTTGCGAGAGACATTGGATATGCGGCATGAAATCCAGAAATCTGTCAAGCGTATGAATACGCTTGATCAGGAGTGTAAAGGTGGGAAATGGGATCAACATGAGATGTTCTTCTACCAAGATTGGCTGCGGTTCCTTTCTGAATGGTTTGAAGAGAAATATCGTCTTGCGCAGTCTGATAGTGCTGGAGAGAATAATGGTGCACTGGGAGTCTTCACCACTGGAATCTCAGAAAATGATATCTATGAAGAGCCTCAGCCTGATCCTGGTTTTCCTTGGGTGGGTCTTCAGGACGTTACGATTGAGGAGATGTTGAATGCGTGGTTAGGGCCAATCAATATGCCACACTACTTTTAAAATGTACAAATTAGCCTTGATAGTTTCAGTGACGAATACATACCCCTCTCTGCTTTCTTTTATTTGAATTGCCATTTTATACTAGTAGTTCTAACCAAGTACTCAAATTGAACACGGCCTGTTAGGCGGTGGATCCAACCAACCCCGCAGACTAAAGACCAAATAGAAGCTTTGATCACATCAGTACATGTATACAGGATAAAGTCTGCCAGGTGGGTCTGCTCAGGGCGGATCATGCTCTTGCTCACTGAGCATGATCATGGTTTCTCTTTTCCCTTAATACCTGGGGTCTCCAGGTATAGGATGTTGCACGTGACCTTGATGACAGATAGATCGGTTGGCCCTCGGTGGCCCCATCAGTA